CCAGAGCCCCCCCAGACCCGGGGCGGGGCGGGGGGCGGCCCCCTCCCCCGCGTCTGCCGCTATTCTGGGGACAAAGCGACAAATATAGAGCGGCCACTCCCGGCACGGGGACACCCCCGCGGGGGGGCGGCGGGACACGGGGGGCGGGCACGGGGACACCCCACGGGGACACGGACACGGGGACAGCGACACGGCGGGGACACGGGGCGGGCCGCCGCGGGGGGACGGGCACCGGGACAGCGACAGGAGAGGCACGGGACATGGGGACACCGGGAGGCAGGACAGGGGGACACCGGGACACCGGGACACAGGGACATGGGGACACCGGGACACAGGGACATGGGGACAACGACAGGAGGGGCACCAGCGCCGGGCAACGAGGGGCACGGGACATGGGGACACCGGGACATGGGGACACAGGGACGTGGGGACACAGGGACACGGTGACACCGGGACACCGGGAAGTGGGGACACAGGGACACCGGGAGGCAGGACAGGGGGACACCGGCACCTGGGGACACCGGGACACCGGGACACTGGGACGTGGGGACATGGTGACACCGGGACATGGGGACACTGGGACGTGGGGACACAGGGACATGGTGACACCGGGACACCGGGACGTGGGGACACAGGGACATGGGGACACCGGGACACTGGGACGCGGGGACACAGGGACACCGGGAGGCAGGACAGGGGGACACCGGCACCTGGGGACCCCGGGACACCGGGACACTGGGACGCGGGGACACAGGGACACCGGGAGGCAGGACAGGGGGACACCGGCACCTGGGGACACCGGGACGTGGGGACGTGGGGGTAGTGGGACACCGGGACACCGGGACAGGAGGATACTGGGACATGGGGACACAGGGACATGGGGACAAAGGGACATGGTGACACTGGGACACCGGGAAGTGGGGACACTGGGACATGGGGACATGCGGGTAGTGGGAGACCGGGACATGGAGACACTGGGACACCGGGACATGGGGACACAGGGACACAGGGACATGGGGGCACTGGGACACCGGAACACAGGAACATGGGGACACCGGGACTCTGGGATGTGGGGACACTGCGACATCGGGACACCGGTACGCCAGGACGTGGGGACACTGGGACAGTCGGACACAGTGACACCAAGACACAGGGACATCGGGACACTGGGACACCGGGACAGGGGGATACTGGGACATGGGGACACAGGGACATGGGGACACCGGGACGTGGGGACACTGGGACACAGGGACGTGGGGACACAGGGACATGGGGAGAGGGGACAGGGTACAGGACGAGGGGACAGGAACAGGGACGGGAGTGGCGGGACAGTCACAGCTGCAATGGGGCCGGGACCGGGCCGAGATGGGCTGTACTGGGATGGGTTATACTGGGATGGGTTATACTGGGATGGGTTATACTGGGATGGGTTATACTGGGATGGGTTATACTGGGATGGGTTATACTGGGATGGGTTATACTGGGATGGGTTATACTGGGATGGGTTATACTGGGATGGGTTATACTGGGATGGGTTATACTGGGATGGGTTATACTGGGATGGGTTATACTGGGATGGGTTATACTGGGATGGGTTATACTGGGATGGGTTATACTGGGATGGGTTATACTGGGATGGGTTATACTGGGATGGGTTATACTGGGATGGGTTATACTGGGATGGGTTATACTGGGATGGGTTATACTGGGATGGGTTATACTGGGATGGGTTATACTGGGATGGGTTATACTGGGATGGGTTATACTGGGATGGGTTATACTGGGATGGGTTATACTGGGATGGGTTATACTGGGATGGGTTATACTGGGATGGGTTATACTGGGATGGGTTATACTGGGATGGGTTATACTGGGATGGGTTATACTGGGATGGGTTATACTGGGATGGGTTATACTGGGATGGGTTATACTGGGATGGGTTATACTGGGATGGGTTATACTGGGATGGGTTATACTGGGATGGGTTATACTGGGATGGGTTATACTGGGATGGGTTATACTGGGATGGGTTATACTGGGATGGGTTATACTGGGATGGGTTATACTGGGATGGGTTATACTGGGATGGGTTATACTGGGATGGGTTATACTGGGATGGGTTATACTGGGATGGGTTATACTGGGATGGGTTATACTGGGATGGGTTATACTGGGATGGGTTATACTGGGATGGGTTATACTGGGATGGGTTATACTGGGATGGGTTATACTGGGATGGGTTATACTGGGATGGGTTATACTGGGATGGGTTATACTGGGATGGGTTATACTGGGATGGGTTATACTGGGATGGGTTATACTGGGATGGGTTATACTGGGATGGGTTATACTGGGATGGGTTATACTGGGATGGGTTATACTGGGATGGGTTATACTGGGATGGGTTATACTGGGATGGGTTATACTGGGATGGGTTATACTGGGATGGGTTATACTGGGATGGGTTATACTGGGATGGGTTATACTGGGATGGGTTATACTGGGATGGGTTATACTGGGATGGGTTATACTGGGATGGGTTATACTGGGATGGGTTATACTGGGATGGGTTATACTGGGATGGGTTATACTGGGATGGGTTATACTGGGATGGGTTATACTGGGATGGGTTATACTGGGATGGGTTATACTGGGATGGGTTATACTGGGATGGGTTATACTGGGATGGGTTATACTGCGATGGGCTGTACCCGCACTGGTCCGTACTGGCCGCGCTGTTCCGTGTTTGTCGTTCCGGCCGACCCCGCCAGGTGGCGCCATTTCCCTTTCGGCTCGGGCCGAGGGAGCCCGCCCAGTACGGACCAGTACGGACCAGTATGGGCCCGGTACAGACCAGTACCGACCAGTAGGGACCAGTATGGGCCAGTAGGGACCAGTACGGACCAGTATGGGCCCGGTGCGGACCAGTACGGACCGGTATGGGCTCGGTACGGACCTGTACCGACCAGTATGGACCAGTATAGGCCAGTCTGGGCCCGGTACAGACCAGTACGGACCAGTCTGGGCCCGGTACGGACCAGTAGGGACCAGTAGGAACCAGTATGGGCCTGGTACGGACCAGTATGGACGAGTACGGGTGTGGTACGGGCCAGTACAGACCAGTACAGACCAGTACAGAGCAGTACCGCCCAGCAGCCTTCTGTATGGGCCCGGTGCGGACCAGTACCGACCAGTATGGGCCAGTCTGGGCCTGGTACGGACCAGTACGGACCGGTATGGGCTCGGTACGGACCTGTACTGACCAGTATGGACCAGTATGGGCCAGTCTGGGCCCGGTACAGACCAGTACGGACCAGTCTGGGCCCGGTACGGACCAGTAGGGACCAGTAGGAACCAGTATGGGCCTGGTACGGACCAGTATGGACGAGTACGGGCATTGGGCCTGCCAGTACAGACCAGTACAGACCAGTACAGAGCAGTACCGCCCAGCAGCCTTCTGCACCACCCAGCAGCATCCCTGCACCTGCAGACCCCCAGAGCCCTCGAGGCACCCCCAGAGATCTCCCGAGCCCCCCCAGGCCCCCGGACCCCTCCCAGATGGAGTCAGAAACGCCCAGGGCTCCATAAAGCCGCCCAGAGCCCTCCCAGACCCCCCCCAGACCTGACCAGAGACCGCCCGCGCCCCCAGAGCCGCGGCTGGGGCAGGGGAGGGTGGGGGACTGGGGACAGCGACAGGGGACAGCCCCCCCGCCCTCCCCCTCCCGTTAATTACGGTCGTTGCCCGGCGTTAATTATCGATCCAGCCGCTCCATGTTAATTGGCTTTGGGTTCAATTAGCCCTGCCCCCCCCCAGCCCGGAATCGATCCGCGGTGTGGGGACAAGAGGGGACAGCGCGGGGGGGGGCAGCCACAGGGACCCCGCGGGGCGGGGGTGACCCTGGCGCTGGGGCGCGGGTGATGGGGGGAGCCCGGGGTCAGTTTGGGGTTCAGGGGTCGCACTGGGAGGGGGCCAGGCTTGGGGTCCAGCAGTGGGACCTGGAGCTGAGGTTCAGGGTCTGCAGCCACTCTGGGACCTAAATCTGGGAGCCAGGTGGGGGTCCAAGGTCAGGGGCTGTTCTGGGGTCCCAGGGTGGGGAGTCCACAATTGGGTTTGGGGTCCCACTTTGCGTCCCAGGGTCAGGGCCCAAGGGTGGGACCTGCAGCAGGGACCCAGGGTGGGGTCTCAGGGTGGGGTCCAGATTTGGGGGCTCCACTTGGCTCCAGGAGATTTGGCTGCTCTTCTTGGGGCTGCCCCCATCCCCCCCCCCCACACCCCCATCCA